TTTTGGGCTCAAAATTCAAGGCACAAAGAGGTAGTAGAGATTTATTAATGCAAAGACTTCATTTTTCAAATAATAGTTTTAAGCAACTAGTAAAATCATGAACAGCCACATGAAAATATAACAAAAAGATGTGATCCCGCTTAATGTGAAATTCTCATCTATATCTAGCCAGTGGAGCCATAATTTAGCCAATAACAATTCAGTGAATCCTTTATCTCTTGAAACTTATAATTTGCTCAGGAAGGAAAGAAATTTGAAAAGAAAAACCTAATATGAATAAAATTAACTTTTAAATGCATTTTATAAAATACTATCTTCATAAATACATACTCTAGAGTCCATAAATGTCCCAAGGTTCATAAAGGCAGAAGAGAGTTTGAAAAACAGGCTGAATTAAAATATTTTATCTTTTTCCCATGCATTCTTTCCATGTTTTGGAATAGCTATCTCTAAAATAGTTGTTTTGGGGTATATTCTTCATCAGAAGAAATATGGCCACAAGCTGTTGTAAACTGAAAAAATGGCCACAAGTATTTCATAGCTTCTCTCATCAAAAAGTAAAATCTATTACTCAACCCCTTGAATCTGGAATTGGCCATGTAACTTGTTTGGCTAATGGAACATTAAGAAACAGGATGTAAACAGAGGCTTAAGAAGTGCCTGCATCATGTTTACCCTCTCTTGCTGCTTTTGGAACCCACCTGCATGTGAAGAAGCCCAGGCTATCCTGCTGGATGCTGGAGATACACGCTTGGTCACACTGTCAATTTCCAGATTTGTGTTTGAGGCCATTGGGCACTAATGAGCCAGGAGTAGACCTCCCCGCTGACTATAGCCACACGCAGGCGCTCTGGTGATATCAGAAGAGGAACCACCCAGCTGAACCCAGCCCAAATTGCCCGCTTGGTAAGCTCCATAGCGTCAGCTGCTACTAATCAATGCAAATGCATTTTAACATTTAGCAACTAGTACAGCCATGCCAGTGCACAAAAATCAGCCCCAAACACAACTAATTTTTATTGAAAAATAAAAAACCTTATTCATAACTTAACTGTCTCACTTTGTTTGCATATTTATTTTAAAAATTAAAATTTGGCTTCTGGCTTTACTGCTTCTTCGTTGAAATATCTGACCCCCTAAAACCCCATAGTTATGGTTTAAGATACCAAGAACTCTCTCCGACAAGCAAAGTACAATTAGGAGAAATGTAGATGGCAAGCTGTCTACAAAATATTATAAATTGATTCAAATATCTAAAAGAAAAAAAAAACTCTTGTTTATTTCTACAATGTCTCCCTGGCATAAGAGGTGGCTCCAGGAATAATTGGAAACAGCTTTAATTGAATTGGATCAATTCCCCCAAACCAGCAATCCCAAAGATAAGCAGATAAAAAAAAAAAACATAGTAAAGAGTTATAGACTCAGAGTGTAGAATAAGTAGAGTTCTTAAAAGATTCCAGAAATCCTTTCAGAAGCTATGGATAAAAGGAGTGAAAAATATGCTTTTATAATAACTGTGATGGGAAAGAAAAAATATGATTATCTGCTCTTTTGCGCCAGCCTTTTTTTTTATTAAAATGTTGAACCCAGGAAGCTAGTCAGGCAGAGAATATTCTTCAAGAGCAGGAATTATTATTCCCAGGAATAACCTGTATTCTTTCCAGCGACAACTCCAAAAAAGAATATAACACTTTTTTCCTCTATAAAACCAGGTAGTGTATCCAGCTGAATTCTCTTACTAGGAGGCAGTCTGGTATGCTTTATCTGAACAGCTTTAAGCTCTTCTTCTAAGAGATCTTCCAGTTCCAAGTAGGTGAGAAGAAAGAAGCGAGCAGAGGGTTTCCCCGTCATTATCTGTCCCTCAGTGTTGAAACATCAAGTGAGTGAAAATTTAGATATTTAATTTTTAAAATGTGAAGAAAAGGAATGGAAAAAGAAGAAAGAAGAGAAGAAACAGAACTGGAGATAAAACTTGTGTCCAGTTATTAAATATCCCTTAGTGAAATAACTCTGAAGCTATTCACAAGCCATACGGAGATAGGTTATTCAGGACATTATGTGGTTTTAAGGACAAATCAAGGACTTGAGTGATGGCAGAGTTAAGAGGCAAGACCTTCAGCTAACACAGAGAGAGAGACACACACATAATTAACCTGATCACTATGAGCCAAATGAAAAGCTACAGGAGTCTGCTTACAATAGGTGAGCAGGAAACTAATCCGAACCACTTTGTCATCCGCTCCTCAAGCAACATTTATCATCTAAAACAGTTTGCTATGTGAATAGGCAAAGCTGAGGTCAACATATAGGATTACATTATTGATAACACTTGAATGATTAATGCTTGCTAACCTAAAGAGAACAGCAAATAATTTGCAAAAGTTATTTCTTGCCCCACTAAATTTATTATTAATATATTACATTATATTATAAAATAATGCAATATCATTTAAAATTAAAATCCCTTTATTTAAAAATGAACCGCTTCCTCTGGGAAGCCAGCCTGAAAAATAGTAAAAAGGAGTTTTAAATATTATGTGTATGAAGATATTCATTGTAGTTTTATCAATAATAAATAAAAGTAAAGCAATATAGAAAATATTCAAATACTGGAATGATCAAGAAAACTATGTACATTGATTGGATAAAATATGGTGTAGACAATCATGGCAAAAAAATAAAAATGAAAAGCTATGTGGTGACATTAAGAAAAAGGTAATGATGTTATGTTCAGAGAAAAACACAACTCAGATTATAAATATGATAGTCACTCCCTTATCCTCGGCTTTGCTTTTCACAGTTTCTTTCAGTTCCCACAGTCAACCAAGGTCCCAAAATAGATGAGTACAGTAAAATAAGATATTGAGAAAGAGAAAGAGAGGTATCACATTCATATAACTTTTACTACAGTATATTGTTATAATTGTTCTATTTTATTATTTTGTTGTTAATATTTTATTGTGCCTAATTTATAAATTAAACTAGGTATACATATGTATAGGAAAAATATATATATATATATAGGGTTCAGTACTGTAAGCAGTTTTAGACATTCCCTGAGGGTCCCAGAACGTGTCTTTTTCAGATAATGGGACCACAGTATATTACAATTATAATGATGTAGGGTCAAGATGCATAGGGAAAAAAGAGTTGGAGATAATTAGGGCAACAAAATACCTTTTATTGCCACTTTTTTTCTATTTTACATATTGAAAACATAATATAATAGTTATAGAAAAAAATTATTTAAAATAACTTCTTGGCCCTAATTACAAGAACTGTTACTCTTTTGCATTATGATCCCATGTCATCATGGTTACAAGTGATCATTATGTTAATATTTGTTATATTATATTACTGTCACATAAACATATTTCAATACTGCTCTTTTAAAAAAAATATGAAAGCAACTGTACAGCATCCACAAAAACACTAAGTAAATAATTTGGTCAGCCCCATCAATATAAAGGCACAATTCAAATGCTCAAAGGGCATCTTACAAATTGCTGGAATGCATGGAGCACACCCCACTCTCTTGGGTCTCCAATGTCCTTAAATAGCCTAAGCCAGGCTAAGGATGAAGCCTGTCTTTCACTAGCATGAATACAAATGAAGACCTTTGTCTCAGTCATATACGAGTCTCTTTTAAAACACTTCACACAGTTAAGCATGCATTAACCACTTTATCCAGTTAAGCACTGTATGTCTTGATTTGAACATGGACAAAATTATAAGTGGCCAAAACTACAAAAACATACAACTGCTTCTCCCAAACACTCTGTAGCCACATGATCTCCATTTCAAACACAGACTAGAAAAACTTAACCACTCTTTTCTCTAAGAATCTGAGAAATAATAAAAAATATTTTAAAAACTTTAAGTACAAATATGTTCATAATATACAGTGATGGACAGTAGGAAGATCTATGACCATATCTGCCCATCAGCCAGCTCTTAGCTAGCTGTATTTACCTCCTGGACATCCCTGGAAATTAACAAATTATTAAAATGTGATGATATTAACAGGCTAATGATAAAAATAAGATTTGTATTATAGTCACTAGCACACATACACAAAGGCAAATTTTACTTATTCTAGCTTTGAACTTCTTGTTCTTGCTATCTGTTAATTAGAAAACCAAGAACTACCTATAATGAGGACTTGCTTGTAAGGGTAGCAATGGTGTCGAAATAAAAATAAAAATATTTTATTCAATAGTAAAACCCTCTATACTGCTATACCTCATCCCCAATTTTTCATTTGACAATTTACCAGTAATTAATGGCTGGCAACTAATGTGATTTAAAAGATTGGAGCTAAGGCAACATTCAACTTGCTAAGAACCTAGATTTTTTTTTTATATAAAATGGAATCACTTAAGTTGTCTATACTTTTCATTAAATACCCTGGGGCTGCCTATAATACTGTCCTTGAATACCTGCCATGGAACCATCTTTCTGATGAAAGTTTTATTATAAGATGCTTTTAATACTATTCTATGGAGGCCAAGAGGTTTACTTCTCCAAGGCAAATGGTTAGATTTTGATATATAGTATGACCAGACTATAATAAATACTTAGTGAAATAATGTGTTTTAAATGTTTAGAAAGTAGAAAAATGTGATTACTAAGAAATTGCTCTAAATAGTGAAAAGAGGATGTTATTTTATGTTTTTAATTTCTCTCAGAGTCAATCCATACAAATTAAATTAGTAGTTCCTCCTTTTAATATAAAGTATAATACTTCTAAAAGAAGTAATTAATTAATGATTATTTAGTGCCATGCAAACCATACATTTGACTACAGAAAAAGTAAAACTAGAGCCAGATTATAAGATCAAAATCTACAATAAAAGTTAATTAGGGTAATATATATAATTAAATATATACATAAAGTGTTATTTTCTTCTGAAAACATAACTGATCTACTAGGGAGACAGACTTTCAAAGTGTCAAACTTCATTCTGATGACATTCACATATAGCCTCTTAGGCTATTTAGTATGCTACAAAAAAAAAAAAAAGAAAAAGAATAGGGCCTAAAAAGGGGTAACTTTATATGATATAAATTTATTTAAAATCTCAGAAATATAATCTACTTAATGTAATATCATATTTCTAAGTTACAGTTTCTGTTTATGTGTAGAAAATTCTGCTTTTTAATTATATATTGACAAATTAGAGTTGTATATATTTATGAGGTATAATGTAGTATTATATCTCTTTAATACAATGTGGAATAATTAAATCAAGCTAATTAACCTATCTATCACCTCAAATAGTTAACATTTTTGTGATGAGAATATTTGCAATTTACTCTCTTAGGCATACTAAAATGTACAGTACTCAATTATTCACTACATTCACCATGCTGTGCAATTGATCTCAAAAAAAAAAAAAAAAACTCATCAGATTTATTCCTCCTATTGGGAGGCTTTGTACCCTTCCATTAAAGGACTTCTGAATGAACCACACAGAACATTTTGATATCCATTACTTTTAGTCTCTTTAAGAAATGGTAAATAAATATATGCCCTTCCATCTTCGATTTCCAATGTGTAAAAAAAATTGTAAGTCTTTTCCTCCTTCATACAGTAATAATAAGCCACTCAGTTATTTGTCTAAAAATCTTCAAATATTAACTATGCATCAGCTGATAAAGGCTAACATACCTTTTCAAGTTTGCAAATACTTTCATGGAAAATTGTGAAGGAAAAATTAAGAAATCAGATAAAGCATGATTTCATTTGCATTTTAATCTGCAGAATGTCATATTTCTAAGGCACAAGGAATAGTTGCACTTTGCTAAAGTAAAAACCAGAAATCCCACAAGATAATGGTTTTACAATTAAAAATATTTCCCTGACAGAATAGATAGCAATTGAAAAATGCCCAAATTTAAAGAGAATCCAGATGTGTTTTTTTTATGGCTTTAATGAAGCAGAATTGAATCAAAGACTTCATAATACCAGACAAGCAACTTGGCTTTTTTTATTTATTTATTTATTTATTTTGTTTTTTTTCACTGACTCCACCAATGTTTTTGGCTTCCACTAGGCGCAGCTTCAATTAAAGATAATGGTGGTTTGGCTTGAATGAAGACTAAAAGCCAGGGACTCTAATGTAAATTCTGAAACACTCAGGAAACAAACAAGGTAGATCTTAAGATATATTTCATAGGGGAAGTCTGAGTTGTTCTTAAGAAATTAAAGCTAGTTGGAGAGAGCTGAAAATGTTATTACAACTGCACTGCAAATGTTAAAGCCTTAACTCCAAGACATAGGTATCAGACTTCGTCTTAAAAGCAAATGGAAACCTGAGCAAACATCTGTTGAATCGGATCAGTACAGACAGAAGACACTTTAGAAAAATCTCTAAAGTTTGCCTCAATTCCTCTGACGTACCCATGTAGTTGATGCAGTTCCATTTGGCTTGCCTAGGTAGAAATATCCACAAAAAGAACCACCTTTTTTTTTTTGTTGTTACATTTATCCAAGAAAGAAATTCAGGCAGTTCTTTATTCAAGCTAGAATGTGTAAAAGCACTATCAATGGCACTCACACCTTTCCCAAACAGGAAAATATAGATGGGTATTTTAAAAAAATGTTTTTGTTGGGAAAGAATAACCATGGTCCTAGAAAACTACTTTGCAATTTAAAAAAATGATTATTGTTTGCTGCTTCATAGATATTTAATATTTCAGTTAAATTTGCTTCTCTTTGTCTGATTCAATTTAATTATAGGCTATTGAATATAAGAAATATAAATTCTGTGGATTAAAAGGACTAAATACTATTTCTATAATCACCTCTGCTATTTGAAAACACTACTATTGTTCTTGCTCATGCAAGAATCATAAAAAAAAATTGGCAAGTTAGATTCGGACCCATTTATTATGCAGTATATGCAGAAGCTATTACAGAAAACAAATCACAGAAACAAGATAGAATTTATTAAAAGTATTATTAAAGCATGAGAGCCTGGCAAATTCACTCTCCAAGGAGAAACTAAACCTAGCCACACATATAGATTCTGAGGGGGAAAAAAGCAATAGTAACAATAAACAAAAATCCTGCCATTTAGAAAAATGAATCTTTCCATATCTCAAAAATCCTTCTACATGGACTGTGATCCTCTGAAATGTTAGTATATTTAGAGATAGGGTATACGGCATAGCCCAGCCACTTAGCATAAGTTTAACACACATCTGTTGAAAGAATAATTGGTGGAAAAAAAAAAAAAAAAGAAGTCTGTGCACCCTTTTTAATTCTAATTTTAGCCCTGGGTAAGAAATCAACAAACAGCACCTGAATTAAATGTGTCACTTTCACAATATCATACAGTTTTATAAATCTGCAAATCACAATAATAAAACATTTCATCATCTCTGAATTTCAACCCCTCCAGTCAGGGATGATGTCAGTCACAAAGGGACCAACCTAAAAATAGACTCTGGTGAGTGAGAGGACTGTAGCTTGCCTGCCTCTGTCAGCTCCTCTTGCCAGCAGTGAATGGAAAACTCAGGTGATATCTCATTGTGTGTAGACATTTCCCCTTAAGCAAATAAATGTAACAGCCAAAGCATAGCTTCGGTAGCCTAAGGATTAATGGAAGAGGCATTTTAAAAGTTGGTAAATCGACCACTTTGCCTAGGAACAGAAATAAGGATGTTGTATCAAACAGCATGTTTGTAAAGCCAACAAGAGTCAAAACTGCCCTTAATTTTCTTGATTCAATTCCTAATAACAACAGTTGCATCAGAGCAGATTTTTGCTATTATACTCCCAGGTCATTCCACACTGGAATTGTTTCTACACAGTAAAAAAGCATCTGGGTGAAAAATGGAAAAAAACACAACTAATCATCCAGCTGTTTCTAAAATCCCAGCTGTTCAGTAATAGGCAAAAAATAGCATAATAACAGAACATAACAGACTTTCATTGCAGGTGATTGTGGAAGCTTTCTGGATATGCACTGGCATGACCTGATTTATAAAAATGGGAAGAAATCTACCTGAATCACATGAGAAAAGCTCTCTCCCTGAGAAATCTGCAAACAGAGGACTGCAGAAACCTCCCTAATCTGGGCTTTTGTCAAAGCAAAAGTGAGTAGGATGAGGTGGGGTGGAGGGAAAGTAGCAAAGCCAAGCATTTTATATGTCTATTTCTACAGTTAAATAAAAACCTTAATAACTGGGGAGGAGGGGGAAATACTGGAAAGAGGAACTAATGAGATCAATGGGTATTTTACTTTGAACTTAGTTTATATTTGGTCTGAACTTCTATTAAACTCTTCTAGTTTAAATTTCCTTCCCAAATCCTTTCAGGGATGCAACACAAATTTTAAAAGTCACGAGACTTTTCTCATCTCTCTTGCAAAGCTCGTAACACAACTACAGTTTTTTATAACTGAAATGAGAGGGAAAAAATGCTTCCAGCATATAATTTTCAGCTTGTTTTAGTAGTGCCTGCAGGATTTACCCCCTGCTAGACTAGACTGATCGCTAACAGGGATACCGTGGACATACAAAAACAAAACGGTAATTCCTGAACAGAACCTCTCCTATCCAAAGATTCTACTCAGTCCCTTGAGTGAGTAAAAATAGTCTAGTGTCACAAGATGATTCACACCTTAAAATACTGTATCTTGCTTCATCCTTATCTATCTAATCTAACCCTTTCTGTCTCCACTGTTTCTCACACTGTCTTGAAACCTGTGAAGTATGTGGATTCTAGTAGTGAAATGACACTTCTTCCCTCAGTGGATGAAAAGCTGCAGCAGCTAAATCAGCAAGGAGCATATGATGGCAGAGTTTTAATGAGGTTGCACAAATTTTATGATTTCTCCATTCCTCTAAGAGTTGCACACCAGCAATAACCAACATAAACACATCATTCAGCTCTGTGTTAGTGACATTCATTCCCAGGGCTTCTACTGGTTGCATAATTCTGTCTCAGTTTTAATGCACTACCACGATGACATTCTACATTAGAATAAGGGGGAGAATTCTCACCCTTTAAAATAGAAAAGTACCCAAGTGGTAATCTCCTAAAGATGTGAAAGAGTCCCTTACACTAAAGGAGAAGGTGAGTTTTATCCTTATGAGATATACAGCTTTAATTCTCAGTAGCAGTTTTATGGTTTATGCATGAATGCCCTCGAAGACTAAAGACAAAGGGAATCAGCATATTGGGAAATATATACACATATGTCAACTCTAAGAGATCAATTTACTCGCCTGCAGTCTCTGGGTTAACAAAAATTAATAGCATTATCAAATGAAGCTGATCTAGCTACATTTACTATCAAATTAGTAGCTTCATTTGGGCATAACTCTTTGCCCCTTGCCTACCTCCCTTCTACTCCTACTAGTCCCAGTTGGCTCTGATCCTGTTGTATGTTGTTGCTACTCCAAGAAAAAAAGCAGTTTGCTAACTTCCCATTGGCTGGATCAGATCTGGAGGATGTGGGTCAAAAGCTCTGAGAACACTTCTAAGAACTCAGAAGGAAAACCTATTCCTAACATTCTTACTTTATCATTCAGATTCTAATATGCTATACAGGGATCTCTCTATGTTGTAAATCACACATACTGAAATCAGCTTTTAAATTGATCAAAAGCAAATGTTGCAAAAAAGACTATCAAACCATCTTGTAATCCTCTAACCAGTTTGTACCCAAGCCCTTCACTTGGTTTACTAGAAGATGTAATATTTATATGAAATCCACCAGTTTAAATATAAATGTAGAAAATTCATAAGAAAGAAAAATAGAGATTCCATTATCCTCTCAATAAATGTGAATAAATGAATCATTATTTATTGGATAAATCTTTCTCCAAATAAATATTGTAATCTTCAACTCTCATATTAATTTCTTAAAATATTTAACTTGAGACACTCCTAATAAAATAGTACAACACTTATAATTCCTTATTTTTTAATCAAAAGTCATTTTAATAGTAGGTAAATCATCCTAAAATTAAAATCTTGCCCCAACAGGAATGCCAACAAGCACACCATCTAGGAATGGCAAGGAAATAAATAAATAAAAATCCTAATATATTCCCTAGAGATTCCATCCCTTCTCGATAGATTTCAGTCCAGTGGGACCTTCATTAATTATTTCCTATTCTGCCTCATAGCAAATGAAAGCCTCATTTGGATTATGATCCCTACCAATTGAGAGGAGAAAAAAAGACTCACTCAGGTGCTATCAACACCATTAGTGTTCTTTGGGAAAAATCATCATTCCATTCAGGTACAAGTGTATTATGTTTATAAATAGAACTTAATGCACCTTCCATGTTAACTAATGTGACTACTATCATGGAGAGAGTTCAGATAATAATGCCCTGTTCTCCAAAAAAGATGGTATTTTCCAACTATGTAATTGTTTTTTTTTTTATGTTAATGCCCTCAGAGGCTAAAAGAGATATTGGAACATTCACCAAAAACAATAACCTGAAACTTTTTAATGCTGTAATTGAACCTGAGAGAATTAAGGAAGTCACATCAAACAACACCTACAACAAAAATACAGAAAAATAATGGCTTTTGGTAAGTCTATTTCTAGAGAGCACAAAGTAAAGCTGCATACCATATAGTCTACTTTCCATGCTATATGCATCCTTTATGTAATGGAAGTATTGTACATTAAAAATAAAATAAACACATTACAATGTTCCATAAAACATAAATATTAATTCCTTCTACTGGGAATGAAACTATAAATATATACCCTTACTACATGGACTGTCTCAGAGCTTAGCCATAGTAATATTGTGATTATAAGGCACAAAATCCATACTAAAGTGTAAAGAAAGGCTTTTTAATCCTCAAGTCTTATCATTTCTCCAAACACATGCATTTGCCTACTAATGAGAATTATACATTTTCACTTCACTTCAAGAAGTCTCTTTCAATACCTCAGACCATTCGTTTTGCTGCCAAAATAAAGGCATAACATAAAATATATAATATATGTAAATATATGAATATATTACATATTAATATAATTATTTTGAAACAAATATAATTCTTTGGCTCAGAACTGGCAAAGCTTTAGTTGATATCCACAGGGACTATTTATTTAAATGCTTTGACTAATGTAAGAGGTGACTGGCTCCTCAATAGCCAATAACTTAAGAAGTTGTAGATAAAAATCCCTTCATGCTTTTCAGCTTTAAAAACAGCCGTTGGCCTACAGAATCGTGAGAAAACAATCCAAGTACATTTCCACATACTACCAATAACTGGGAAAAAAACATCATGTTTTCCATATTTACTAGTTATTCTTAATAATTACTATTAATACCCCTGCTAAGATGAGTCAGCATTTCTATCATTTTCACAGAAAATGTTGTGTATTTGTTGAATAGCTTATTTCTGTTTTATGTCATCCCTCACAATAGTCACCTCCCGGTTACCTCTGCTAACAGTGAGGAGCCATGAAAATGGCTACCAACACATCCTTCATATTTAGTTCTAATGTATGTGACAGATTGAACCATACACTTGGCTTCTCAGTTAGGTTTTTCTTGGTTTTCTGGTTCTGGTGTTTTTATTGTTTATTTGCACTGTATTGTTTTCTCTTTTCATGATTTTGCCTTTTCTGGACTGGCTATTGAACCCCAGGAAAAAATGGGGTTCTGAGTCTGAGTAAAGCCAAACTCAGATGCAAAACAAGCCACAGATAATCTGCAAAACAGATCATTTGCAGATCAGGAAGCAAGAGTTGACTATCTGTGGATCAACTACCAAAATAATTTAGCTCCTGGTACTCTGAATACAAATTCACCTTCCAGGACACCAATGACAACAAGTGGATCAAAAATGTAACATTAGGTCAACAACACCACAGTGAATCTGGGAATATGCTTTCTAAGATGACAGCAAGACTCCATATTTAGCACACTATTTGCCTTAGACATCTATTCTGGTCCCACAGGCCTAAAAGGGGGATGCTTTGGTCTCACTTAGAGCCACAGCTCATTAAATATGTGCCACATTTTTCAGAGCAATCAACTCATTCCCTGGGATTAATATATTCACCCATAAATAAGGTGACCATATTTTCTAAACCTCAAATTGGGCCATATGGTCTGATACGTATTAGCATACTTTTACGAAGAATATACTGTGAGAAATTGGGACTGCTATGGAAACAAAACCAAGCCAGAAATAAAACTCATAGCACAGTCCTAATCTTAATTTACTTTTCAGAAGTACATATTCCCATTTACTGCAAAAATAGCTCTGCTTCCTTCAATCCTGAACACAAACTATACTCCATCAACCTTCTTTCAGAAAGGAATACTGATTTCCATACTAGAATGTAGGATTGCCTTCTAACATGCAGTGGCTACATCAGTCTGGAAGGAACCTGTGCTCACAGTCAAGTTCCTTTTCAGGCAGGAAAACCAAGAGGTACCTTTTGTCCACATCAAATGTCCCTTGCAGAATTCAGAATGACTTTTGGGTCAAGAAGATTTCCTGGAACAGGCCCTTTTGTCACTGAATGACACCCCGTAATCATTCTAAACTGTATCAATTAAAAAACACACACACACACACATAAAGAGGGATATTACACTCTGCTTCCTGCACATGAGCACATCATCACAGGTTCACTTAAAAATGTAAACTGAATCTAGGTGTATTTCCCACTTTACCTAGTACTAGTGCTAAAGATGCATCAAAATCCTGGAAATTGACAACAGTGGAGAACGCCATTTCGGTTTCAAGGTAGAGGTGCTACTGTTTGTGATTCCAATGCACTTAAAAATGATTTTTCATTGGTTAATGCTGACTTTTTAAAAATGGGAAAATATATATCTTAGTCCAGAGTATTTTCCTTAGGTATTTGTTATTCATATCATGGGTTCTATTTCAACACGTGCTGAATGAAAAGATTTTCACAAAGCTTCACTGATCCTGTTTAAAACAAATATGACAAGGAAAGCAGTAGCACTTGTGAAATGCTACAAGCGTCTTAAGCATAAAATAAGTGCCCCAGGATAGGCTGAAATACTGTTTACCAAGAAGACTGCACAATAACAAAGTAAGACATCAAAATGTATACTTACCAACTTTCACCACGTGTATTCAACTGGGAACTGAGGAGTTTTCACTAAATGAATCCTTTCCCTTTATAAGTCATTAGAATAAACAGCTTCAAAATACATCCTATTCATTCTGCTTAGTTTACATTCTAAATAACTCAAACTCTTGGTTCTACAGTTAACCTGACAGTGAGATTTTTATACTATTTTGCTCTCGTACTTAAATACAAAAATTAAGGCTAGTACAACTTGAGGGGTACTTAGGACATACCAAGCTAGTCTAATGCTTCCTTCAACTCCACAGCAGAATTTTGGTACTGAAAGGGGCCAGATGATAAGTAGCCCAATATTCTGGTTTTACACTAAAAAAAAAAAAAAAAATCAAAACGCTGATATTCAAGGAGATGAAATGATTTGCCCACCATTTCACAAGCCAGCGCTCTTGACTCCCTCGGCCAGCTGCCATTTCTCTAGCACCCACCAGCTCCCTTTCACAGAAATTAAAAATATATATTTATTTGTCCTCTTTTCCCCATAAGTGTTATGCATAACTGTTTCCTTTTCAAGCATTTGCAAGACAGAACAATGCATCCACCTTTGAAAAGACTCTGATTAGGATGACCCTCAAATAATGTGCTTTTGTTAACATGTATTATCATCTGAAAAGCAACAAAAGGATCCCAGATCCCCCTAATTCAGATCTCTAAAGGGTGTCACTTCTCTTTTATCTTCCAACCAAGTATGTATGGTGGTCTCTAAGAAGATACAGTTTCCTAAATTAGTTACAAATAGCTCCTGGAAGCATATTCCTCTGTATAAAATTTTCACAAATGGTTCTAAAGCACTTTGCCTAGCTTTGACTTGGAAAAGTGCTATAAATCCACAGATGCACTGGTTGTCCTACCTTCACAAGTTCTCTATAAGAGAAGTGTTCCACACAGAAGTGTCCCTATACAAGTCTTGAGGGCTTAAAAGCTTCCTTCTCAGTGTAGGATCATGATCCAGACACCCTAAAATAAATACATCTTGAAGGGGAAAAAAACCATGTGTTTAGAGATAATCTGCTAATACTTGCTTTGAAAAATCATGATTGTCACTTGACCTTCTTATCCTAAAAAACCCATGTGGAATAAAGGCAAGCCCTAGGATCCCCAAATGACTATATTTCCTGAATTCTCAGAATTATGAATATATATCATCAATTTAATTTTATATATAACTTTTCAGATTTAAAAAAAAGTAATATCATATAAATAATGAAATACAGTACAGTTTCGTTTTCAAACATAGCCAAATCATTGCTATTGCTATTATGGAAAGTTCAATAAACACCCTATGCTAGATAGCCCTTAAATTATATTAAAACATAATCTTACCCAGTTGGCTATATCATAAGATACATGAAATCTTGTTCAGAGTCAAGTTTTTATTCCATGACATGCCTAGATCTACTGATAGACAATCCTGTGTTTGCACATCAACTTTTTGTAAAGACCTCAAGGTTAAAGACATTACCCATGATTTTTATAATATCTTACTAAAGTAGATATATGCTCATGGGTTCTTAATATCCTTTTTACTCAGAAAGAGATTAAACAATTTAGACATAATATCAGGCATTTCTATGGAACCCAACATATCAGAGTTTTTGCATGTTCTCATTTGTTTTCCATGACCCTGTAAAGTAACATGCTTTCTGCACACTCATTTTTATTAATCAAGAAATGTGGACGCAGAAGTGTTAAGTGACTTTTCCAAATGAATGGTGACAAGCCCAAATAGCCTTACACCCAGTCTAATGCTTATTATATTTTTGCCCCAAATCCAAAATATGTTAAAATGCCATCTTTTAAGTCTTATTATAAGATGGTATTTTCTTGTTTTGTCACTCTCTATTGTCCACTATTGATCTTTGGTCTTTGGTCCTCATATTAAAAAAAAAAAAAGCCTCCACTTGCTGCTTTTTGTTCTACAAATACTGTTCTAAAAAAGTGTTTCTCTACAAGTCGTGGGAAAAGGGTGGAAATAAGGGTATAGCTTTACTTTTACCCTAATGTTGGATTTACTTTGAATTTCAAATAACATTAAAGGAGAGGTAAGATTTATATATAATTACCAAATGATGGTCTAGGTTAAAACGAAAAACAGGAAAACTTGAGAAAGGCTATTTTAGGTCATTTTGTTTGTTTGTTTGTTTGTTTTTGGTTCATAGTTGTCAGAGTTCATTATGTGCAGTAATAGTCTATGCATATTTTTTCTAGAGCTCAGGACAATCATTTTATAAAGAACAGAAGTTAAAACATTGGAGAATAAGTCCTCTTATGTATTCTGAGTTTTCTAACCTGTATCTCATTACGAATTAACAGTGCAAGGCCAATCATTAGTTGTTACCTCACATTCTAGAACATCTTGCCATAAGTTAAATGCAATTATGTGTCAAATTCTTTTAATAAAGATGATAATGATAGTGATATTGAAACCAAATGTTTTGACACAATTCTTCCTTATATCCATTTAGCAAATAGATTGCTAAAATCTGAGGTGAATCCCCATATTCTGTTCTTATGTAGCTGCACAAAAAAAAACTTAATAAATCTAGCATGATTTATGTTGTACATTTAATAGAAAAACCTTAAGCCATAATCACTGTAGCTGCTGGGTATCTTATGTCTTCAAAATCTTTCAGTGCATGCATTAACTTTGGTTAAATTATTCTGGAGTTAAAAGGCAGAAGAATATTTAAAATAGTAGGGTTTCAAAAGCATCATTTTAACAGACCAATTTCAAAAGATTCAGGTGCTAAATTTGACTTCATAGTCCCTTTGTAGATCAGTTATTTAGATTTTAAAAGAAGAAAGAATCATGTGCTGTTATCTGTGTGGCCATTAGTCTCACACAATGAAAAGAAGAAAACAATAAAATAAGACTAAAAAAATCATTCTTCCAATGATTGTCATTGAACTGTTACATTAGTAAACATTCACAGTATGAAGTCTCTTTCAATCTCCAGCATATAAAGTAGTGCAAAGGAAAAAAAAATCCAGTCCCATTACCTGCGAATAACATTTGTTACATTTTCTCTGACTTCATTTCTTCTATAATGTTAGACATTTGCTGTCAAATCTTCCCAAAATTAATAATAAAATATAATCAATTTCTAAAGCCTTGCAGCCTTTTTAAAAGTTAATTTCCAGTTAAAAATAAACTTTAATTAAATCCAAGATAAAATTGTGACCTATATTCTATTAAATAATTTACTTTGTTTTTTTCTACACAGTAATTCTTACAATTTTTAAAAAACAACTACAGAATCCAAAGACATATGAGATGCTATTAAAGCACTGATAAATGACTGCTCAAATTCATTAGTTCTTACATAGTAAATACTTAAAAATGCCAACTTTTCCCATCACTGCACAATTACTAACAACGTTGACAATTTACTTACACTTACACACACACACACACACACACACACACACACATTCTCTCCGTGGAACCATCATTACTGTTAATATCTTTTCCAGTCAATGTGCAAAATTCTTGCATTCTAATAAAAAATATAAAGATAGATTTGCTCCTATATAAGCCTCCCTCTTCTCCAAGATGTATCATTTATTTGATATGTAATACAAGTTTAGTAACAATTATGCCATGTATAACCATTAAGTGGCGTACTACTGTATGCATTGGACTCATTTGCATATTTCATTTTCATAACTGCACTCTCTATGCATAAATATATTTGGAGATGCTTGGGGGGTGCAGTGGCAGAAATGGTGGAGAAAGCAATTCACACATCAGTCTCCACAGCCTTTGCGTTGGAACAGTTGTTTTTATCTGTCTCACTGTCATCCCCCTTTCCCTGACACTTTTCCTCCTTTGCACATAGAGATTCCTTAACTCCTTCTTCCATCTCTAGATACTCTGACTTGTCCCCCAGGGAAGAAGAAGTGGAGCTCCGAAACTTCTTGAGCAAATTAGAAGGGAGGTATGGGCAACTGACTGCATTCTGTGTCAGCTGTGTCTGTTCCTCATTTTCAGTCTCTCTGTGGTAGAAATAGTTAAAGTTAGAGACAATCACTGGCACTGGCAAAGCAATGGTTAAGACACCCGCAATGGCACACAGGGACCCCACGATCTTGCCCCCCACAGTGATGGGCTTCATGTCCCCATAGCCCACAGTTGTCATGGTCACCACAGCCCACCAAAATGCATCTGGGATGCTTTGGAAATGGGTAGTAGGTTCATCCGCCTCTGCGAAATACACAGCGCTGGAAAAGAGGATGACCCCGATGAAGAGGAAGAAGATTAGGAGGCCCAGTTCCCGCATGCTGGCTCTGAGGGTGTGGCCCAGGATCTGAAGGCCCTTGGAGTGCCTGGAGAGTTTGAAGATCCGGAACACTCGGACCAGTCGAATGATCCTGAGGATGGCAAAGGACATGGCCTGCTGCTGCTGGCCACTGCCACCCCCCTGCTGCTGGGCCAGGTCGGTGCCCAGCGTGATGAAGTAAGGCAAAATGGAGACAATGTCAATGATGTTCATGATGTTTTTGAAGAAGAGCGCTTGGCTGGGACACGCAAAGCAGCGAACTACAAACTCAAAGGAAAACCATACAATACACACTGTCTCCACAATGAAGAAGGGGTCGTTGAATATCGTGTGCCCTGAGTTCTCCGGGTGGGGTGCTGAGGTGTCATTCAACAACCCACTGTGCCCGCCGGCACTCAGTGCCATGATGAGATCCCTGTCGTCCCTAAACTCAGGCAAGGTTTCCAGGCAAAAGATGACAATGGAGATTAAGATGACCAGGACGGACACGATGGCTATGCCCCTTGCAGGACTGGAGCTCTCCGGGTACTCAAAGAGAAGCCAAATCTGCTTTTTAAATTCATTCTCTGGCAGGGCCCTGTCCTCCTCCTCTCTCACAAAGCCCTCATCCTCCCGAAACTTGAGCAGGGCCTCCTCCCCCAGCTGATAGAACTTCACCTCCTCGGTGAAGATGTCAAAGGGGACGTTGACAGGCCTCTTCAGGCGGCCTCCCGACTGGTAATAATACAAGATGGCATCAAAGCTGGGCCGGTTCCTGTCAAAAAAATACTCGTTGCGCAAAGGGTCAAAGTACTGAGTCCTCTTCTCAGGGTCGCCCAACAGAGTCTCTGGAAACTGGGCCAGAGTTTTCATCTGGGTCTCAAAGCGTAGGCCTGACACGTTTATAACCACACGCTCGCAGCAGTCACTGTAGCGGACGGAACTGTAGCCACCGCCACCCCCATCATCCTGAGGCAGCAGGTCTGTGTAGGAACATTCATCACCATGGTCATCTTCGCTGTAGTAGAACCTCCCCTCCTCTTCCTCCTCCTCCTCCTCCTCCTCATCCTCCTCTTCCTCACTCAGCTCCCTCAGGATCTTCTCCTCAGAGCCGCTGGGCATCAGGTCAGAGCAGTGAGGGAAGCTGCTCTGCCGGTGGTGGGATTTCTTCCTCTCGGGCCGCTGTCGCCTCCTCCTCCGACTGCCCCGGCTGCTCTGAGGGTCGTGGGAGTGGTGGTGGTGGTGGGAGCCCCCTCCAGAACCCCCGCTGCCTTCCACAGCGGCTGTGGCCGCCGCGACAGCAGCTGCCGCGGCTGCCCGTGAGTGAGCCAGCCTCTCCCGCTCCCGGGCCCGGGCCTGGGCTGCGTAACCGTAAGGCATGTGACTGTTGCACCCTGAGCTTTCGGCACTCACCATTGCAACCTCCATGGCGGTAGTTTTTGGAAATGGCTGGTTCCAGTTGTAGAAGAAGAAGAAAGAAAAAATAGGGCAGCTTCTTTTCTCACCAAATTAAGGTAAGTTTGGAACCCTTAAGCAGATTGCTTGGAAGACTAAGGATATTTTCAGTCCAACTTTGCATTTTCTGTTTTTAAATCAGCACACCCCATGCTCTCTCTTCTCGGGGATTCAACATTGCTCTCCAGAGATAAACAGCCTAGCACTCTCAAACCCAAGTCAGAAAACAATGAATGGGGGTCTGCCAGACACCTATATTTTGGAGTAGGTGTTGAGATTTGGAAATTATGTCTGGGATGTAGCTGGTGATGATGCTGCAAGATTCAAAGGCAGCCAGTGTCTGACAGCCAGCAGTTGTGCCTAGAAAATGAAATATGTTTTTTTGCCATGGAAATTCGCCAAAGCTGAGTCCATTAAATTTAAATAAAATGCAAATATGCCTTTAGTCTTAGCACTTGCCTTCTAGAGACGGCTTGACCCATGTTAAGATGTGGCTTGAAGTATGTACAGCCATTGCTGCTCAAAGTCTGTCAGGATGATTCTCCAGTCTCTCAAAGGCTTCCTGGACCCAGGGGTAATGCCAGGCTACAGACAGAGGCAAAGACCCTAGGAGGTAAAGAAGGTGCTAGATGAGGTGTCAGCAGAAGCAAAACCAGCTCTGGAGTCTCCATAGAAATCGAGGAAATGCAGAGCATCCTTCAGCTAAAATCATGCAGAAGAAGCACTTCACCTGAAAAAGGATTGAAAACAAGCACAGAAGAAAAATAAAAAGACGAAACAAATCATAACAAGCAAACTGAGCATTTTATTTCACATACACTTTCTTCTCTTTTCTTTAAGCAAATCATACAACACACCAAGCAACCACACATTTTCAAGAGTGTGGGGCAGTCTATTCTTAAATCTCCCTCTCATTAAACATCCTTCTTTCCTTCTTCTTCGGTTATTATTTCAGCTCAGTTTGCTTTCACGGCAATTCAATAAATTTTCATCTCTCCACTCTTGGTGTCTATGGGCCTTGTTCCTATCTTCCCCTTCACTAATGCCAGGTTTTAACCCTCACTTTCACTCTCTTCATTCCACAACAATAATGCTGTTACTTTATAGCTGCTTCCATCATTCATTTACCTAAGGCATTTTTTTTTTTAATTTCCTCTTGTAAAATGTTTCTGAATTAAGTGCCCTTCCACCCCTCTCTGTCTTAACTCAGGATTGGGGAAGTCAGAAAAAACAGGGGTTTTTACAGAATCTAATACTTGAATGAGCTCCAAACACTTCATCTACAAAGTGTAGGCAATACAACTTCTCCCTTCCCATGTTTGTAAGTATTAAATGAGATAATGAGTGTTGCACAGAAATGAATGGCAGTAAACACTGGCTGTGATGCATAACATGACAGTACCCTATGTTTTTCTTGTCTATCTACCCAGCCCCAAATGTTTATGCCCTATGCCACTGTCTAAAGTAGGGGAAAGACAGAACATGAGGACATTCAGGACATTCTGAGACTCACTGATGGCCTGAATTAAGTTAGCATTGCCTGACTCCCTGAAGCATGTCCCTATTGTTTTTCTGTTCCCCAGATTCCTGAACACTCCCAACCACCCACAGCCTAGTTCCCACATCTCTAATAATCATATTCTCTCCTTGCAGTTCCTCCGTGTTCACCTCAATGGCTCCTCCTACACTCAAGGGACTAGCTTCTTATTTTTTAAGTCCCAGTTAGTATGAACTTCATTCTCAGCCTATCGTACTTTCCCCCTGCCCCCATTTAATCCACATTTCCCATACCTTTCCCTCTCTTCTCTCTTCCTGTTTCCCTTTCTTTCTCTTTCTGCCCACCTTTATTTCCTATCCCCCACTTCCTGATCACGTGCCCCTTGCAGCCTCAATCTATTCCCACTGTCACCTGGTATTTCTGCCCCTTCCTTCTCCTTAGTCTGCTCTCCCAAGGTCCAGCTAATTCATGTACTCAGCCAGGACCTATAAAAACCCCTACCCCAATCTCCTGTCTTCCTTTTGCTTCTTCCATTTACTCTGCCCAACAGGACTTCCAAGAACGCAAAGAGTGACCCAGAGAATTGGAGAGGATGATGACAGTCAGAATTCAGGGCATCTACCAGCTTCTATTACTGGAAGCACTTGGAAAGCATAAGAGAAATGGTTTTCTGAAGCCATTAACAGGATTCAGCTCTTGACCACCTGCTGCTCCTTGCTGATCGTGTCAGCCTACAGCCTAAACACAGTGACTTTTATGAAGTGACAAGCATGGACATGGCAAACAGAGGGCTTCCCAGTCACACGCCCCTTCCCAATCATGCACATTCTCCTACAATCTCCTAGGGTAAGAGGGGAGTTGATTGAGACACAAACTCCAGAAAATACACCTCTGATGGTATCTCACATGACATCCCCCTTCTTTTGCCTGATTCCTAACATCATTTCACAGTCTGAAACGTTAACACTCAGGGTGTCTCCACATCCCTACTTTACAGAACCATCCTGGGGTTACATGCACTGTGGAGTGTGAAGCCAACAACATCCTTTAAAGATTTGTGCAGGCCCAACAGCTTGAGAGTTTGCTCAGTTCCTTCCCTAACTCCCCCCACACAGTTATAATACACTGTTTAAATAAAGCCCCAGTGTAACTCAAGTGCCTGTACATTTGAATACTATGCATACCCTATCCTGCCCCACTGCCTCCCAGAAGGACAAGAATTAGAGGGTCTTCCAATTCACCATCAACTCCACAGGAGAGCTAGACCTGCCCTCTTTCTGCTCTACACCAAATACATTCGCATCTATTATTTATTTATTTATTTATTGGGGTTTGTTAGTTTTTGTTTATCTAACTCCCTCCTCCACCCTACAAAAAGCAAATTAATTTGTTTTAATTGACTACCAGTTACCTCACTCTCCCTGATCAAGAAAGAAAGAAATGAAATGAAATGAACAACAACAAAAAAAAAAAGAAGAAGAAGAGGCAAAAAAGAAAAAAAAAATCATTTTTCCCAGCAAACCAAACTGGTTTAAAAATGTCTCTTCCTTCTCAAGGTATTCATGTTAGGAGAATCTACTCAAGCCGATTCCCAGGAGCCTTTAGGGGAGAGACCTTTGCGGGGGGGATTCCCCATCCTCTTTAACACCAGAAAACTAACAGGATTTTGCAGACTATTCCCCAATCGCTGCACCCCCAAACAACAGCCAAGCATCCCGCCCCTCCTCCTCTCACCCCTCAGCAACGAGGCTGTTTTCATCTCTCAGCGCTAATTCCTGCAACTGTGTTAGGGTGGTACCTGAACCTTATCAGAGACAGAGAGAGGGAGAAACAGAGAAATTGAGATAGAGAGAGGGAATCAGAAAGGCCAACACCGTGGGAAACATACACTTCCTCGCACGCCATTTACACAGCCCCTTATGTGTTGCTCAAATGCTTGGAAAATGCACGCAAATCCAAATGCTGGGAGAAGCAGCAATTCAGACCCGTCCACCAGCTGTTCCCAAAGGAACGGAACCTGTGAGGCTGGGACGAGGCAAAACCATGCTAAATCTTAGCCCCACCTCGTTGGGAAACGACATCTTTAATCGCGCCCTCGCCTCCAGACCTGGGTTCCCGCTCGAGCACCTTAAGCAGAGCGCACTCGCCCCATCCCCGGGGTTGGGAAAATAACAACTGTTGGCCCCCCGGAGCGCCGCGCAGCATCCGCACCTCCCCGCTCCCACCTCCTGGTTTATTTTTAACCGCCTTCCATTCATGCCCTGCTGTTACATTCCCGATATTATTTACCCCTCAAATGTCCACTGTTTCTTCTTAACAGCCAAAAGAGGAGTGTGGAGGAGGAAAGATAAGAAAGGTATCATACTTACCGTTCCCCGGCGGGGTGGAACACAAAAATAAAGAAAATTCCCCAGGCTGGTTTGTTTTTCCCCCCTCAAGCTTCAACAGCTGGAGGAGGGGAAGAATGATCTTGGGTGTGGGGGGAGTGGTAAAAGGAATCACTCCGGTTTGGCAGGTGAAGGCTCCAAAATATCCACGGAACAAGTTCTGTTGCCTGGCCCGGGGGGCACAGAGTCCTCGCTGCTGGAGCCTGGGGGTGGGGATGAGGATGCCCCAGAGAGGACCCCCAAGACGCCTGGTTCCTCTGGAGTTCGGCACAGGCAGGCTCGCCTGGGAAAGGAAATCAAGGTTCCCCCGAAAAGAAACAAAATCCTAGACAGCAGCGATCACTTGTTAAGCCCGAATTCCTCCTCCAACATCCATCCCTCTCTCCCTCTCGCGCTGGCTGCGGGAGCAGCACACGCCTCCCCTGGCCGCGACGCGCCTGGCGGGGGCGGGGCCAGGGCCGTGCCGAGGGTGTGGCGTTCCCGGCCGTCGCCAGGGGCGCCCGGCTGCGCGCAGTCACGACGCGGCGACTCCCCGCCCCCCAGCAGGGTCCCCGACTCCCGGGCTCGGGGAAGGATTCCAGGAGCCCTCGGCCGTCGCCCCCAGATGCCAGGAGCAAATCCCAGGGCAGTGTCCCCGTTGGGGCTGGAAATAGGGGTTCCGACGGCAGCGCAGGAGCCGCCAGAGGGCTTGGGAACTGAGTGAGGGGGCTCGACGGGCGGGGCAGTCCAGAAAACCGCGTCATTTGGGGCATCTTCCCCTCTCCCTAACTCGCTTTCCCTACATCTCCGCCGGCGCCCCGTCCTCCTCTCCTCCGATGGCGGGTTGTGGGGCTGGGAGCTCTCCCTTCGCCTGCCAGCGCGCCCACGTCCCTTCCTTGCTCACCGGAGTTGATCTGCCTCAGCTCCGGGATTGGCTTCTGGGGCGCAGACGGGACGGACTTTTCCAGGAATGCGACCCGGGTGAGGAGAGAGTTGCAGGAATTGGAATCAGACCCAGGCTAGGGGCTGCGCACGGGAAGCAGAAGGCCAAGGGGAGAGAGCTGGAGGGATATGAGCAGGTTGCGCAGGGCGGGCCCAGGGCTGGGGGCTTGGGAAGGCGGGGGAGCCCTCAGCGAACCTGTGGCGGCAAAAAGAAATACCACCCGGCGAGAGTTTTGAGGCCGGGAGGTCTCTCTCTTAGTGGCAGGATCTCTACCACTGCCCAACTCCATTAAAAAAAAAAAAGAAGAAGAAGAAGAAAGTACTCCAGCAGGCGAGCGCGCTCGCAGAGGCCGCGTCGCCAGCTCGGGATGGAATCACAGGTTGCTTGCTTGTTAAGTGAGATACCTTTGGACTTGTATATAAATATGCAATACCCACGGATCCACCAAAAGAAAGATTAGCAGTGGGAAGTGCGAATTTACGCACACCCGCCTCCCCCCGAAACCCAGGTGGCTAGCGACCAGGTCTCTGGACGTCGCTTCCAGCTCCCCCATGGGCCAGTGGAGCCGTGGCGCGCGCGCCCGGACTGCTGCAGCAATGACGACCGCTGGCTGGTTGGCGTCTGGGTGGCCACTGTCGTACTCAGCCAGCAGCTTTGTTCGAGGGCCCTATTGGGCCTCCTCCTTTTGTGACACTCAATTAATTATTAAGGGAAATATTCCCGAGCTGAATTATAGATATGCCCTGTGCTCACTCACCTAACCGCTGCTGGCTCAGCGAAGGACACCTGGAGGACTGCTTTTCATTGCTGTTTGATTTTTTCTTTTATCTTTTAAAATAACTTTAAAACAAAATAGAATGGTAATCAGTAAAAAGAAAAGAAAGAAGAGGAAAGGGGAAAAAACAGGAACCTGGCACTAGCCCTGGCTTTCCTAACTTCTTCCAGCTAGTGCAGCTTGAACTTTTGGCATGAATAAATTTACCCGTGATCCTCGGCTTCAACCGCGGTGGAGGAACTGAGAGAAACATACCTCCACACTGGCTCTAGAGAGGCTCTTTGCCTCGATGCTTTCCCTATTGTAGTTCATCCCAGCAAGTAGGGAGGGCGGATTTCTACAAACGTGAAAATGGTCATGTGCACTGGCACGGAACAGTCTCTGTACCTCTTCAACATGATGTAATCACTGTGCAGTTTCATCCACACCAGAAACAAATAATTCCTGTTTATTGTTGGCTCATCAAAAGGATATTTGTTAGGATGATAAAAGGCAAGGCTCAGGGCACAGGATCTTGGGACCAGTTTCCCAAAAGCAATTTGTGAAATCAATCTGGAGCAGCTATGGAATACTTTCAAGGAGATGAAAAATGAGATTGAATGATGTACTAAAGATGACAGTTATATTGAAGCTTGGGCATTTTAATTGGATCATGTTAAAACTTTATGAATTATACTTCCCTATGCCATTTATTGTTTGTTCCTATCATGGCCTAGAGAATTTTAAAGTTTTAAATGCCTAAGGGCTTTTTAAATATTTGCATTTCTTAGGTATCAAGAATCTGAATTATTAAAGCACAGCAAGAACACAACTGAGGAAAAACTATTCTCAGGAAAATATTCATTTGGGTCATACAAAGAATATTTATTGAGGACTTTATCAAGGTAATATTACTTGGGTGTCCACCCAGTACTTGGCTCTCTGCTAAGTTTTTTTAATGTATATTTTCTAATTTTATCTGCATAACTAAACATTTTATGTGGCAGGTACTATTATTACCACTACTTCATAGAGTAGGAAATTAAGGCTTACAATGGTTAGTTAACTTGCCCAAAGGTGATATAGCTAATTATGTAGCATAACTAGAGAGAGAGAGAGAAGGAAAGAAAACAGGCACCAGCCCGATTCATCAAGGTGTCAACTTGCGCCTGGTCAGTCATCTCCATCTTCCACACAGTCTAGTCCCATCTTCCAGGGGAAAGAGGGAGTATTATGTAAGTACGGTTAATAACTAAGGCAAAAAGCAAGTTTTGTTAATTGCTATTCACCAGCAAGTGACTTGATTCCAGCCTGGGAAACAAGCAAAGTAAAACTGACCAGTAGATTATTAACAAAATGCCAGCAAGGATAAAGAAAAATACCCACACCCATGTCAGTCATTTGTATGAGTGTGTCAATTAGCTTTCTTGCTGTCTTCTAGAGACAGCTTCTTGAACAGGTACTTGAGGTCATCTACAGGGTTGCAGGAATAAACTGCTGCTTCTGAGCCAGGGCTGTTCATTGGGAGAAGTAAAGGGTTTTATCTAGAGGCATGGACCCAACTGGGAAGTCCTCCCAGCTCAACAGCAGTCCGAGTGGCCAGAATAACCTGGTAAGGACCCTTCCATTTCTCAGTTAACCAATCCTCTGGACTTCTTTGCACCATGTTTTGAGCAGGACCAGCATGCCTGGGTTAGCAGGGAAATGGTCCTAGACTGCCTTATCTGGTAGAGGAATACACTATTACCATACCGTGTGATTGCTTGATAACTTGTCCCAAATTAATAATGCACATTAAAGTCTGATTTAAGTCTTTATCCAATAGGAAACTTGTTTTGAGAAATTGTCATCCATTGTTCATTTCAAAGGGGCTGAGTTTTAAGTTCCCCTTATTCTCACTAAGACAATAGTGGGTGGGCGGGTGGGGAGTTGATCCATGATTCCTGAGTCTCTTGACATGACTTAGCCAAAGTTATTTCAGTGATGTGGTTCATTCTCTTGACTTCCCAGAGGATTCAAGATGGCAAGTAGAATGAAGTTTGTATTGAGTGCCAACGCTGCTTGATAGCACCTGGGTGACCTGGGTGATAAAAGAAGACTTGTTGTCACTTTGTAGAGAAATTGGTAGCCCAGACCTAGGAATGATTTCTTTTAGCAGATATTTGCAAACTGGCTTCTTCTTTTTGTGTGGGGAAAGCTTCTACCCAGCCTATAAACATGTCTATGAAAACCAAAAGATACTTGCAACCACCCTTAGGGAGCATCTGTTTGCTAATGTTCTCCAGGGTAGGTTCCCCTGTGCTGCACTCGGGTAGTGAGAGAGGGGCCAGTGGATGGGCCAGAAGATTGTTTCTAAGGCAAATTTCTCATGCTCAAGTTACCTGGTCCACTGTGGTCTTTAGAGATTTAATCACTAGGGATTTTGGATAAAGTTCTATAGCAAGTCCCTCCCATAATGCATTGCATCCTGAAAGCTTCTGATGATTTTCCATGGATGAACCTCCTATAAGAAGAGATGTCCTTGCTGATCTTCCAACCATCCCTGACCATTAAGATGGTACCCTCTCTCTTCTGCCAACTTTTGCTCTGTTTGATTATATTGGGGATTTGAGGGCAAGGTGGAGACCCCTGTTACAAGGGCCAAAGTATCAACTTGTCCCTTCCATGCTGCCTGTTTGGCAGCTCTATTAGTCTGTTTCTCTGGTTGATCAAAAAATTGTTTTACTGATGTCTTTTGCAGTGTATAACAATTATTTGGGCAGGAAGCTAGACTACTTCAAGAAGAGACAAAACCATCTCCTTATGTTTTATGGGGCAGCTTCTAACAGTTAGCATTCCCCTCACCTTCCAAACAACTGCATGAACATGAAGTATCAAGTATCCATTCTTATAATCAGTATATATGTTGAGTCTTTTCCTTCCCCAAACTGAAGAGCCCTAGCCAAGGCTTCAAGCTCTGCTTCTTGAGCTAAAGTGCTTGGGGGAAGTGCTTTGCTTTATGATCTGGTTTAGACTAACAATAGCATAACTTGCCCTCTGGACTTCATTGTCTGTAACCCATTCTTGATATTGAGTTAGCCTGCCCCCAGTTAACCAGTGGTACCCCTTTATTTCTAGCATGTCTCAGACCTGGTGAGGAGTCTGAACCTCAAAGGGCTATCCTAGTGTAAGTTTAGAGGCCTCTTTAACTAAGAGGCTGGTGGCTGCCACTGCTCTGAGGCAGCCAGGCCACCTCTGAGCCACCGGGTCGAATCGTTTTAAGAAATAAGCCCCCGGCCTCTGTACAGGCCCTAGTTTCTGGACTGGGACCCCTATGGCTTCACTCAACATGTCATGTACAAAAAGGAAAAAAATCTTTCTTCAAATCCTGGAATCCTGGGGCAGAAGCCCGCCCTAGATCAGCCCTAGGGTTTTATAGGCTTGCTGGCAAGCCTCGTCCCATTGAAACAGGTTTTGTTTTTTTTTTTCTCCACCCTTGAGTGTTTTATAAAGGGATTTGGCAATGAGGCCAAAGCTTGGGGTCCAAATCCAGCAAGAGCCAGCCATCCCTGGGAATCCTTGCAGCTCCCTTCTATTGCTGGGAACCAGTAATGAAGCAATGGCCTGCTTCCAGTCTGGGGCAAGCATTCGAGCTCCTGGAGTAAGTATGTATCCCAGATATTGGACCTCTGTTTGTAAGATGTGGGCCTTTGAGGGGGAGGCCTTATATCCCCAATCAATTAAGAAATTCAGGATCTTAATAGTATTTTCCTGTGCGCTATGGAAAGCCTCACTGGTGATGAGCAAGTCATCAACATATTGCAGTAAGGATCCAGTTGTTAGTTTAAGGTCTCTAATATTTTTCACCA